TGTGTTAACTTTGTCAAATAGGAGACACAATGATCTGTCTTGCAAGTTAGTAAATTCAAAATAGCTCTTAATTAGCAAACCACCTAAAGTTGCCAGTGACAACTTGAATTCGCACACAGCTCTTGTAGGTAAAATATTACAGAGGTTACAAAAGTTACCCCAGGCTTTGGAGTCCTGTGGTCTGTGTTTTGTAGCTATTGTGGTTGAACTTTCTCCTCTTCCTCACCCGTGATGGGCTGTTTGCCCTTCCAACAAGTGTCCTTCCTCCTGGGGGCCTACAGTTTGGGTTTATAGCTGGGAAAGCAGAGCCCAAAAATGAATAAACAGCCCTGTATATGCACAGGTATTTCTCCCTGATGAGGAAATAAAAATGACTGGTTTTAATTGTGCATAGTGAGAGTTGTGCTTATTTCTCTTCCTTGTAAAGTACCCGTGTTGTGACTGTTAGATAATCATGTTTTCTGATGAAAGCATAGGCCTAAAATGTTGTTTCTAAATCAGGGTTGTTTTGATTTAATCCCTGTATGCAGCGCACATAATTTTGCTTCCCTAACTCTTTGAAACAAGCGTTGATTTTATGGCTTTGGCTGTTGCTACTCCTGCGCTGTGCTGTACCTATGAGCTATTTAGCGTGCAATGTTGAAGAGTAAATTAATGCAGGTTCACAAAGAGCGCGCTTCGATTTGCTAATTGCTTGTAGAATGGAGGGTATTGTTGTGTAGAGAAAGACTGTTCATTAGAGATTGAGCAGCTAATTTTTTCAGAAGAGCAATCCTCACATTCGAGTGGCTCGCTTATGGGAGAGGGCAGTAGACTCATGCTCAGCATCCAGAGGAGAGTTGGGGGCTGGTGATGCAACCAGTGTTGCCACCCGCACTGTAATCACCAGATCTCTGTTTCATTCATTAATCCTTGATTCATTTGTTAATCCTCCTGGCCCAAATTCCCCAGGTGACTGACGATGGAGCAGGGCTGGGAGAGCGGCAGCCCTGCTGCTCCTGGAGTCCCTGCTGCTTCTCCTTGCTTTGTGTTTGCATGCGGGATGGGAAACACAAGTGAAATAATGACTAGTTGCTGCTTTTGGAGGATGTGGGAGAAGGATCCTTGGGAAAGGGAAGCAAGTAGAGCAATTCCAAAAGATCTCCTTGGAAGCTGAACTGGCTTCTGCCCTGTCCCCATGTTGTGGAGAGGGACCGATCACAGTCTGTCTTGCATCTCTCTTGAGGAAGACGGTTGCACTGACAGTGGATTAGAACGTGGTGTCATGTAAGATGGATGAATCGAATCGACAAACCATTTTTTGGAGACTTAAAATAATTGCCTGAATACTTCTGAGGATTTTCTTTTTCTGCTTATGCTGTTATTTGATTTTCTTTTACCTGATTGTGCTGCCTTCGGTGGGCAGAATGGACTTTGCATATATTTGTATATCTGATTCTTTAACTGGAAATCTGTTTGCTTATCAGATTTCTTAATCCTTGGGCTCAGTGATCCATGGGAATTTAACATGTATATTAATGGGAATTTCCTTCGAGCTTGAAGATAAGACTTTTATGCAATGTCTGGAAATTCAACATGAAAATCTTTCCCGCTGAGAGCAATTCCCAAGACACCAAGGTGAATGTTTACAGTCTAAAAGTGGTAGAAGGTTGTTGAGCTACATATACGTGGGTCTTTTCCCAGGATCTAACTCTGAGATGGGACTGGCAAACAGCTCCAGTGTCTGCGGCAGCTCCCCTGCCTGACCAGGGCCTTGGCTTTTGGTCGAGATGAACAAGACCTTGGGACCACCTCCGTTTCCATCTTCCTTGCCTGGCTCCAGTCTGTTGCTCATGCTTTTCTTGGCTGTCAGTGGGCAGAGATGATTGAACAAAGAAATCCAACAGGTTATTCCTGAAAGAATAGTTATAGGAAACAGTACAACAATATTTCTTGCAGGTTTTCCCGATTCTGCTCAATAAAACGCTGGAGGAGAGCAGGGGTGAAAGGTTCAGCTCGTGGCTCTGGGCTGTCTCAGGGCCTCCACAGCATTTCCTCAACTTGCTGTAGTGGCTGGCAGCTCCTCTCGAGCACTCTGATTAAGTGAGATGTGGGGATAAGTTCAGAGCCTAATTTCTTCTTCATAATTAAAACTGTGTGCATCTGTCATGCTGTTGGTGATTACGCTGTGTATTCTTGCGGCCTAGGAGGAATATGGCACTGAATCATTTTGCAAGCAGCTGTCCTCTAACAGCTGAGCTGGGCTCAATATTTGATTTAAGCTAATAAAAAGTCTGGGGTAGGGCTAATGTTTACAAACGGGATGTGATAAAGCATTCGGATCATCTGTTTCACAGCCAGGCGGCAGCGGGCACAGGAGACGCCGCTGGAAGTTAGGCCTCGGATGGGTTTGGGCCTTGGCTGTCGGCTCGTGGTGGCCGCAGGTCCCCGCGCAGCTCCGAGCACGGCTGGTGGCTGCTGAAATTCAGGCAGGATCAACTGCGCTGCAAATACCTCCCTGTTCCCAGCTGTGGATCGTGCTGTAAACAGCTCCCGATGCATAAAATATGTCCCTTTGCTCTTCCATGTGAGTCCCGGGCAAACCATACACGTAAAAATCTTTTAATCTTCATAAATCATTTCCTCCAGCAATCTAGTCAGTTGAGTTGCTGCTCTCTAAATTCCCATCAGTTCAGCTGCTCTTTCCCTTTGCATTGAGCTGCCAAGAGATAAATGCAATAAAGAAAACAGGCGCTATGATATCATTATTTTCTGATGGCTTCCCCAAATCATACTGGTCTGCCAATATCATGTTGCAGTTTTGGACTTCATGTCCAGGTTTGCCTTTAGATCTCCGCTGGCTTAGCAGTCTGACAGGTTTGCATTTGCTTATTTTTCTCTACGTATAAAATATAACTCTTTAAATTATGTAATATTTCCTCCTTGTAGTTCTGATTTCTCTGATCCCTCTGTATTTTTTCTTTCTCATTCAGAAGTTCTTACAGCTTCTTCCTGAGGTGAAATACATGAGGGTTCTTTATAATTTTTTTTTCTGAATTTTGTCAAGTCTTTGTACTTATTAAAAGCATTCTTATGTCATCTGGTTGAACCGGTTCCCAGACTGATGCTGTCTTGATATTATAAGGAAAGAATATTTTCACCGTGAAGTAGATCAAAGATTGGAACCAGGTTGCTCAGAGAGATTTTGCAAATTATTCCCTTGGAGATTTTCAGAACTTGACTGGACAAGGACCTGTTGTAACTCACCCTGCTTTGAGCATTTCAAATCAAAATTATTTTATGATTATAGACAGGAGATTGAACAGAGAAATGAGTTGAAAATTCAGGAGCAGTAGCTGCAGTAAACAAATATATAATTCTTTGTCTCTTTAGTCTAGGAGAGGTCAGTATTTCCCATAAAAAGGTCGTATATATCATGTTATAAATAAGGCCAGTAAAGATACTGTAAAGTTGTTTTATTTTTTCCCAAAACAGTCAGTCCTAGGATGTTTTGCAAAGGTTGCACTAACACCTCATAGATCGCATCTATGAGCAGACTTTTTCTGCTTCGTCTTTGTGTGACTTTTCTGACTCCAGCTTGCCCAGTCTTTCTCAAAAATCGGCAAATTTAGAGATTACTGATGTTTCAGATCCAAAGTTTGTGACAATTTCCTTTTCTTACTTGTAAATAGGCCCTGTATTTGGCTGGGCCTGGCACGTCCTGCTGCGTTTCCCCACGTTTGCTCACGTTTCAGTGTGGTTACCCTCCAAAGCCCAATGCTTCTACTTTCAGGGTAATAAACTGCCCTTTGCCTCTGGTTTGGGCCTTGTATGTGTGGAGAGGCCTTGTGAGAGATGCTCTGGAGAGTTTTTATAAATATCTGCTGGAAATTATATGAATTGGTTTGCAGCCCCTTTAGTTCTTGTTGGGTTTGTTTGCAATGCTGAAATTAGCTGCTCTATCATCGGTTGTGACTGTTTTTATTTCTTTTTGCTAACTAGAGGAAGGCTGGTTGGAGGCAGCAGAGGGTGGTGAAGTAGAAGTCATGGGAAGAGATTGCACTGAAGTAGTATTTGTTGTTTCTCTAAAGTACTGATTTCTTTTAAAATTCTTTTTCACAAGTAAAACTATGTTAAAACTCATCTTCTCAGTCAACTTTACTTTTTTTTCTCCAAAATGATGTGGATTTACTGTAAGATATTTTCACCCTTTTAGAGATTCTTAAAATTTCTTCTTTTTTAAAAAATTCTTTCATTTTAGACCTTTGCATTAGGGACTTTTCTCAAAAAAAAAAAAAAAAAAAAAAAAAAAAAAATTGCAGAGAGGATTTGCCCAGGATTCTGCTACAACAATCCTAGAGGCTGCCAAAATCAATCTTGTATCTTGTTTTCCATTTAAGTTGTGGAACAACTTTTCCATTAGTTGTGGAACAAATCTGTCCTGTTTCTGAAGTTCAGCTTAGCAACATTGGGTGTTTCTAGACCATTCTTGCAGCATCCACAGAAAAGGGAAGAAAGCAAGGTCCTCTGACCCCAGACCATGCGACTGAAATTTGGGAAAGCTAATCCAGTTGATTTTCTCTCTGTAATAGATCTCTTCTTGTGTTTGTAGAGTGCAAGTTTTGGGGGATAGGATTGTCTCATGTTGCAGGTTGTGGATAGGATATAACAAAACTCTACACTTATAATTCCTTTTCAGTACAACAAAAGTCACATTGACCTTGATGGCTTTTTTGGGGGGGTTGAGTTTAACTTTCATAAACATGTCCTGGACACTAGCTAGATCTTTTTAAGTGTCTTATGAAATGAAGCTGGTGACCAAGACATTGGGTAAAGCTTGCATAAATGGTCATTACTGTAGTTATTCTATATGCAATGGTCTGTGCAGTGCTTTGGTGCTACTTAGTCCATGTTTCCCAGAACTGAAATGCTTTGGGCAATGATAATTCATGGTTGTAGTGAATGAAGACAGTAATTGGAAATGCATTTCTGACTATGCTTTATATTTTTTTGTCTTGAAGGGTCAACTATCTCAAGTTCTAGAAGAAGTGGGAAGCCATAAGCAAAAAGCAGAGATGGTAAGTGTTCATCTTATTATTTTTTTGCTGTTTTACGAAACAGTAACATATGCGAAGTGGAGTGTCTTTGAACACTGGATCAATTCCAAAATTTCAAATGCGAATAACAAAAAGACATTGGAAAGGTTTGTGTCACTAGTGCTAGCTCTCATGCCATCAGTGCTATCAGTCTCCATGCTCACCTGGATCAAGTGTTGGATGAGATGAAATGGTCTTCGTTTTCCTAGCAGTTTGCCTTTTTTTTTTTTGCCAGGAGTTCTGGAAGAGAAGCAAGCATTTAATTTCATAGTGTATTAACTCCTTTCTTTGGGAGCCTTTGATTCAGTCTCATGTGTGCACAGGCCAAGTAGATGAGACAGAATATACTACAAAATAGTGTTTTTTTTATAATGTCTGTTAATTTTCTGCTGGATTTGTCTATTTTGTTGGCAGTTCCTTCAAGGACCAAAATAAAAAAAAGCCCAGGAGGGAGGCTTATGTGTGATTTTATGACTTTCTTTATGACACTTGATATTCAGGAATAAATGACGTGTCAGCATTAAACTGTTCTATAATCCAGTGTTTTTGCAAATGGGAGAGTTGTGGGATTCTTTCTGTAGCTCTTCTAATTATTTTCCTCAAGTTTTGTCAGAGCAGTGCTAAAAATGTGGACACCAATTCTATAGATCTTTTTCCCTTTTCTACACCAGATAGATTTTGTCAGTGGTGCAAAGGTGGGCAGTGAGCAAGTACCAAAGAGGCTTCTGCCCTGAAACCCAAATCCTAACCTCTAGTATTAGTGTCTTTAGGTCTCTGCTTAGCTCTGCTAAGGCACTGAAGATCAAAACTGACGTGTCTCTGCTAATATTGGCTTGCTTTGGTTTGGCTGAAATACTCTTTACTGTTCCAACAATAAATACTCTGTAATGAGACTGTCGATTGACTCTGATTTCAGGGCGGTCTTGTGTTGTGGGCAAACATTTTTGCCCGCTTAGTCACCTTCTCTAGTGACGTAGGTCAGAACTGCCATTTCCAAAGAAACTTCGGTAATCCTATTTACCATCTGATCTCATTACATGCTGCCTTGTTGTAGTTTTAAATTCTACACTGAGCTTTGTGTTGTGCTCACCAGACATATTGGAGCATAAAGTTGCTGTTATGTTTTAAAGGGTCTGATGTGCATTCTTAAAGGAAAAAAAAAAGAAAAAAAAACTTCAAAATTCTTCTACATGGCTCGTTAAGCCAGGGTTTTGAATTACTCGTCTGTCTTCAAAAATTCATAGTATTGAACAAGCTAGCAGAGAGCAGGAACAACTGGAACTTCCAGTGGTAAAATATTAATTGCTGTTGTGCCTCATCCATCAGAAGAGGGATAAAGGAGCCTTCCGTGCCTATTCCCAAGGGTTATGCAGGGGAAAATCTGCAGGTCTTGTGATCTTCCCTGTAAAGCTTACATCAGTCTCGCATGAAGAGCCGTTTTCTGTGCAGCTTTAGACTGTGGATCGCAGATCACTAAGGTGGGGGCTTTTTTCAGCCATTTTGAATTTGTTCAGTAAATACGTGAAAACCACTTCAATGACTGGAACGGAGATGGCTTTTCTTCTCTTTCCTTCATGTGCATTTTGGGAAGAACCTGATGTTTTGGCTCTGTAACACCTGGTGGATGCTTCTCCTCTTTCCCTATCTTCTCCAAAGGGTGACAGGAGTCCATCCCCTTTGGATGCTGCCCTTCCCTTTGCAGGCTGCTGTTGGTCTCCTCTGTCGCTCCATGCAGACTGTTCTCCCCTCACTGTTTTTGTCCCTTCAGAGCAGTGTCTCACCGAGGTGCCCTTATGTACAGGCTCATTCCAGGTCAGCCCTCTGGTGATCACTTGCTCGCCTGGGCCTCCTGCTGCCTCTCCTGCCTTTTCCTCCCCTTTCCTGCTGCACCCATGAGTTTGACACTAAACTTGTGTTTAGTGTCAAGGACTAGTGACTAGTGTCAAGGCTGTGAGGACGCGGAGGGATCCCTCAGGGGATACGTCCCTTAGGATGGCGGGCTCCCCAAGAGCGCATCTACACGCCGCGTCCATGGGAGGAGAGGACCCCGTTGCAGGGAATCATATCCGCAGGGCAAACAGGAGCAGGATGGTGGCAGGGGCTGCAGGGGACATTTGCAGGGCTGGCCGCAGCCTCCCGCTCTCGCTTTGCTAATCGGCATGGGCTATTCCAGCCCACGTTTGCCTTGCTTGTCAGCTAAAAGTCAGCTTGCTGCTGCAAGGGAAAGAAGCAACAAAAAGGCTTCAGCTAATTGCAGTTGACAAGACAAAGGCAGTTTGACTTTCGAGTATTAATTAGCAAACCCATACTAATTAGCTTGTATAAGCACAATTTATGCTTCTTTCCCTAAATGCAATTAATATCGCAACTGAAGACGTCTCTGGGCTGTGCCGCTGTATCATTAACATACTTTACCCTAATTAGACACGGCCAGTAGTGGCTGGAGAAATGAGTTTATGATTACAACCATAAAAAAAAAAAAAAACTCTAATATTTCACATCCTTCAGGGAACCTGAACCTCGAATTTATTTTCTGATTTAAGAGAAATTACCCTTATGATCGTGCTGTGTAATTATAACAGTGAAACTTTGATTTTTCTCTCCTAATTCTTGAGTTATTTGTTTTTCTGCAGTCATGGTCTCGGTGTGCACCTGCTGCAAGGGAGCAGTGCCTGCCCAGGCTGCTCATGCTCGGCACATAGCACAGGCTCCAAGCATTTAGGCTCAGCTCAGTTATCCCTGATTTGGTGGCTTGAAAAGGGTGCTGCTTTTTGTACTTGCTGAAAGAAGTTTTTTATTTTGGATGATTTTGGGGTGTCACCTTCTCTGCAGTCTTTATGCATGCGCTTCTCTGACAATCTTATCAGCACTGGAAGGTTTCCTTAATGAGGCGAGTGCTCGAATATCTTTATCTCCAGGCTGTGCCAGGAGATTACTCGTAGCGCTTGCACCTCTGCTTTCCTGCCCTGTGATCCTGCAATATTCCCACTTACGGTGCACTGTTTTAATGCTCTCCCGTCTTAGAGAGCTGCCTGTTAGCTTTGCTCGTACCAAAATATTACTCGTGGAAAGTGCTCTCCTGTTTTCTTTATGTTATTTTTCTTTCCCTCCCTGAAGGAGGGAAGCAGAAAGGCCAGTAGTTTTTTCTAATTCTCATTTGCCTCTATCGCTCTTTATAGGCAGGGGGGAAATCATTTGGCTCAAGCTTGCCATCCAAGCAAAGGTGTGATCCATGATCTCCCGTTTTCTTTCAGTCTGGTTCTATAGCACAGGGCACTCGTGTCAGGACTTTTTTTTCCATCATTAATCCCTGAGAGAAGTCAGCTTGGTATTAAAAAAGTATCACCTGTATTTTCGTTGCCCTGAGGTGCTCTGGATGTCTTTTGGCTTTCATCTTCAAAAGACAGCTTGGCCCACGTGGGCTCGGAAATCTGTAGACTGCTCATTGGAACAAATTATATTTCATCCTCCAGCAGGTTAAAAAGGGATGGATATAAGAATTGGAAGAATTGTTTAGCAGGGTGGGAAATAAAGAAGATTTGAAGTCCAAGGATGTAGCCATCACAAGATGAATGGTATAAACTGAGTATCTTTGCAGAAGAGCTAGAGACCTAAACATGAAAATAACGAATGCTCCTTGCCTTAACTAAGTGCTCGTTAGTGTGCTGCAAAGAGCAGGACACCTTTATTTATGGGCAGCAGGTCAGGAATAGTTAGGAAGCCAAAACAGATGCTCAGTATGGGGAAACTGTGAACACTGAGGAATAACTTAAATGTTGGTGGCTGCTACATTCACTCAGGATATTCAGGTTCAGGGTAAGTAATGAAAACAGTACACAGAGGGCACTTCGTGCAGGATGTGGCTTAGAACTAATTGTTAACTGGAAAGCTGTATGGAAAATGGCAGAGAAGAAGTTTGCAAAACTCACCACAGGCATCAAGATATAAGCCGCAGGAGACCCACACAGTTCATAAAACTTCTCTAAAAAAAATCCTTCCAAGTAGCTGCATGAGACCTTCTAAGTTTTAAGAACAGTAACTTTGATTTTATACTTAAGACATATGCCTGGCAAAGTTCAAAAGCTACTGTTAAATTTTACTTTACAGATGAGAACAAGGATCATATCAAAGTGAACCTTAGTATAGAAGGACCTGAGCTGATTAATTGAGCAGTATGGCTAATTTAATTCCCATTTAAAACTTATCAAACATGAAGTAAGAAATGCAACAGAGAAGACACAAGCATAATAAAAGTGATACTTATTAAAGGAAATGTACTTTCTCTGTATTATCTACAGTGGGATGGCAGTTAGGTGTAGGATTAGAGGACAAAGCTGTGATAATTATAATAAAAAGGATGGTTGGCCATAACATACATAGAACTGCCAGATTGGGAGGGGACGGCAAATGACCGGTGCAGGAAGCCTCCAATTCTCAGAAAGTCTGTTTCATCATTTCCAGATTGATTTAGAAAAACGACAGCAAATCTCCCCAGCATTTGACAGATTTTATCCTAGCATCTTATACAAGACTAGCAAAACCAAGACAGATGACTAACGTGGCATTCAGCTGAGCAGGAGCATGATTATGGCGATAGTTTAGTAAGGCAATTCTAGGGAAATATCCAGCTCTCGAATCAGATTGAAAAACATGAATCTGGTTATAAAGAAACAGCAAGAAAATTGATTGAGAATGAGATGATATAGGAACACAAGACTGGAAAAAGACTCTTAGATCATAAAGTCCAGTCCTCTGGTATCTAAGGCAATCACATCATATAGTTTAGTTCATAAATTTATCAAGCTTGTCTTGAAACTGCTTGGGTTGTTTTGTCCCATTGCTACTATTGAAAAACTGCTCTGATAGTGAGAAACCTTTCCAGTTCCAGCTGAATATACATGAGTCAGTTAATATCCTTTTTTTTTCCCCCCCCCAGTGTTAATGTTCTTCTCAAAACTATAGTGCCTCTTCTTCCTCACTCA